CCATTTTTTGGTTGCAGCCATCATTGTTGTTTGGCGGGCCCGGGCTGGGGATTCGAACCCGCCACCTTAGGTGTATGTGGCTGGCGCCTCAGCCGCTTGAGCCACAGGTGCCGAGCCTAATTTCTTTATCATTAAAATCTAGCTTAGACATCATCTCCTACAGAAAGCTTTCTTCACCCCACAAGTCTGGATTAGTTGCTCCTGGGCACAGAAAGGTACTCTATAGCTATCATAGCACTTACCTATCTGCATTGTAATTGTCCAGCTCCTTCACTGAACTGTACACTCTGGGGATAGGGACCATGTTTGTCTTGCTCATTGAGGTATATTCAGTGCTTGACACAAAGTAGAGGATCAAGTACTTGCTGAATAAACTTTATCGACTCATGAAAGTTTAAAAATTTTTATAGAAGCAGCTTGTGATCTAACAGAAAGAGTATGAGACTTGGAGATGGACCATCAAGATTCAACTTACTACTGCTAGGCAGTTATCTGTTCTGACCCACCTTCTCACTTTATGGGCACTTCCCAGGAAATTTCACTGAGTCACTCCCATGGTTTCAATTACCAAAAGCTTGCTGCTGACTGCCAGATCCATACCTCTGCCTAGATATGCCACAGCCTGCATGTCTACATGTATGCCTCACAAGCACCTCCAATGCAACTTTTCCAGAAAATGAACTCATCATTGCCTATCCTCCAAAGCCTCCCCTATTTTCTGCTTCAAAATAAGGTACCATATTCATGTAGTTGTCTAAACCTGAAAACTAGAAATCATCTTTTGATTCTTCTTTCCCTTACCCACCACAGCTAATCAAATGTCAGGGTTTTTTGTTTTGTTTTGTTTTGTTTTTTTTGAGACAGTCTCACTATGTCACCCTGGGTACAGCTCACAGAAACCTCAAACTCTTGGACTTAATTCTCTTGCCCCAGCCTCCCAAGTGACTGGGACTACAGGCACCCACCACAACACCTGGCTATTTTTCTGTTGTAGTTGTCACTGTTGCTTAGCTGGCCCTGGCTGGGTTCGATCCTGCCAGCCTTGGTGTATGTGGCTGGTGCCCTACCCACAGAGCTACAGGCACCACCCACAAATGTCAGTTTTTTTTAAAAGCTAATACTTTTTGAGTCCTTATTATGTACCTTACTGTTCTAAGGGTTTTGCCAGTATTGACTCATTTAATCTTCACTGCAACTCTAAAAGTAGCTACTATCATTATGTATGAGTAAGGAGAGACACAGTTAAATAACATGCCCACATTCATAGTAAGTAGGAGGGACAAGATTTGATCCTGGGAGGCGCCTGTGGCTCAGTGAGTAGGGCGCTGGCCCCATATACCGAGGGTGGCGGGTTCAAACCCAGCCCCGGCCAAACTGCAACAAAAAATAGC